AGCACACCATAAAATGTCAAGCGGATGTAACATACACAAACAACTAATGAATTATTCATAACCATGACATACAGGCTTACTTGTGTTTGAATTTATATGGAGTGGAGAGAGGGTGATTAAACAAAATGTGTTTACAGTCATCTACTTACACAAAACAATTTCTAATAACCCTTTTTCAATTCACCTATCTTAGTGTTGAGCATTGCTAAGACCTTGATCATGAACCTACAACAAACAATTTCTTAAAATCTTTTTCCAGTTCACCTGTTTTAGTGTTGAGCAATTGCTATGATCTTGACCCTTATGTTTATGCTTGCAGTACTATCCCCAACCTGATTTAGGCCTAACTATAAGTGTGGTCTAGGACTTAGCTTGGGAGGAAGGACATTATGAGTGTGCACTTCCTCAGCCTCAACTAAGCAAGTTTTGACAATGACGAATTACACTTAAAACAAAAATACAGTCACCACATTTTACAGAAATAATGATAATAATCCTTGCATTTGATATAGCGCCTTGTCATGTCTTCAAGATGTCTCAAAGTGCTTCATAGAATATACTGTAAAGTGAATTGACTGTATATTTTGTGGGCGAAATGCGGCAGCAAATTGCGCACAGCAGTGTCCTGCAAACAATCATGGATTGAGTGTCCAAATTATTGGTCTTTGGAAGCGGTTTGAGATGTTTAAGCAACATGATAAGGCACTATATCAATCACAGAATCATAGAATATTCCAGAACAGAAGGAGGCCATTCGACCCATCATGCCTGTGCCAGGTCTTTGACCCAATCAGTCCCACACCCCCGTTCTTTCCCCATGTCCTTGAAACTTTTCGCTCTTCATACCTATCCAATTCCCTTTTGAAAGTTTTTATTGAATCTGTTTCCACCAAACTTTCAGGCAGTACATTCCAGACGGTAACAACCGTCTGTGTTAAAAAAAAATCACCTCATCTACCCTCTGGTTCTTTTGCCAATTATCTTGAATCTATGTACCCTGGTTACCAACCCACCTGCCAGTGGAAGCAATTTCTCTCTAGCTACTCTATCAAAATTTCTCATAATTTTGAACATCTCTGTTAAATTTCTCCTTAACCTCTCTTCTCTAACGAGAAGAATCCCAGTTTCTCTAGCCTCTCCACATAACTAAAGTCCCTCATCCCTGGTACCATTCTGCTAAATCTCCTCTGCACCCTCTCCAAGGCCTTGATATCCTTCTTAAAGTGTGGTGCCCAGAATAGGACATAATACTCCATCTGAGGCCTAACCAGTGACTTATAAAGGTTTAGCAGAACGATTTGCTTTTGTACTCTATGCCTCTATTTATAAAGCCAATGATCCCATATGCTTTTTTAACAGCTCCATCAACCCGACCTGCCACATTCAAAAAACTGTGTATGTGAATCCCCAGGTCTCTATGCTCCTGTACCCCCTTTAAAACAGTGCCTCTCCACATTCTTCCTCCCACAAAGCATTACCTCACACTTCATCTGCCATGTGTCTGCCCATTTCACCAGTGCAAATGCAAGGATTATTTCATGTATTCAGGACAAATATTTCATCACCAACACCAACAATAATTATACAGTAAATAACAATACATTAGTAAATATTTGCTAGAACTAGAAATAGCCTCTTTCAACTGGTGATTTTTCATTTTTAAAGCCAATTTTGGATCTCAATATTAATAATCTTTGCATTTGATACAACGCCTTATCACGCTGGTGAAACATCTCAAAGTGCTTCACAGAATATACTGTAAAGTGAATTGACTGTGTATTTTGTGAGTGAATCGCGGCAGCCAATTGCACAGTCATGGAGTCCTCTCGGTTCCTCACACTTGCGAGGCAAGATCTTGCAAAATCTCTGTACATTTCCCAAATTTTCCTTTGAAATTGGCCCTTTGTTAGGTTTTCGAGTATACTACTATGTTAAACTCTAAATATAGCTGGATCATCACCAGGACGGGACACCACAAACCCTCGAGGACAGTACCCAAATATTAGAAGCATTTGCCAAAAGCAATGTTTTTTTTCCACAATTGACCTTAAACTGAAGAGCAAGACTGAAAAATTTGGGAGTTAGAATTTGATGTCAAAAGAAAGGCAAACATTATGCATAGATTTAAAAAAAATTGGATTCAGAATTTCAGTATATCTAAACAAGTTTCCAATCCTTAAGAAATGTAATATTCTTAGGAATACTGCAATTTTGACTGCCATATATTATTGTAATCCCATCACATATGCTCTCCTTGTAATTGGTTGCAAAACAACATTGGCAGAGGTCCATAGAATGGATCACCAGTAAATATTATGAGCAATGAAAAAAGTATTTTCATATTTTAAAAAAATCTAGGGGTGGAGGAAAGGAAAGACATAATTTGTTCCAATGTATTTATCCAAAGATAGCCTACTTGTAGCTTGTTTNAAAAAACACAAAGTAATAATTCATTTATATATTGCCCTTTCCGCAAAAATAAATATCTTGAAGTACATTACATGTCAAACATGTTTACACAAAGGTAGTCAATGTAACTGCAACATTAACTTNAAAAAAATAAAACAATAATAAATCAGAACTCACATTCATACAGCACCTCTGGTGTAAAAAATAATGTCTTAAAAAACGTCAAACACATTTATGCAAAGAAAATTGCGATTAATAAAAACATTAACGTTTTTAAAAAAATAAATACACATGCATAAAAGCAATCATAAATAATAACTTGCATTTATATAGCGTAATAACTATAGTGTAAATAATGCTTGGAAATGTTTTTAAACAGGGAGGATTGATTAGAAATTAGGTGAATACAATAATATTGGAAACTAATTCACACTTGCCTCACTACACCTAAACAATAATTTACATAGTATCATAGAATTATATAGCACAGAAGGAAGCCATTCAGTCCATCGTGTCTGTACTGGCTCTTTGACGAGAGCTATCCAATTCAATCCCACTCCCCCGTTCTCTCCCCATAGCCCTGCAAACTTATCCTCCCCAAGTTTATGTTACACATTAGCGCTTTTCATGCTAGGATGGTTCAAAAGGTTACAAGATTTTACTATAAAGTGTAGTGACTGGGGGTGAGGGTTGGAAGAGTGGCGAGGGGTAGGTTGGGAGAGTTGGTTGGACAGTAGACTTGAGTTGTTGGGTTGGTGGGATAAGGAGGTTGGAATAGTGGGCAGTGGAGGTACAGGAGGTTGGGATGGGATAAGGGGAGCTCGTGTGTGGGGAGGGATTGAGTCAAATGGGGGTTCAGTAGCATATCTATAATGGTGCAATTGGTGCAGTCGTGCCAGGGCCCATGAGGTTACGAAGGACTCAACCTATTGGTATGTTCTCTCTGTCTCACAATAAGTAGTATTTAGCATCATCGTCTATAATAATAATCCTTGCGTTTGACATAGTGCCTTTCATGTTGTCGAGACGTTTCAAAGTGCTTGCTTGACAGGAAATACCGTGAAGTGGATTGACAGTGTATTTTGTTGGCAAAATGCAGCAATGACCCACAAACAGCCATGGAGTGAGTGACAAATTTTATTTGGGGGATTGCTGGCCAGGACATCAGGAGAGAGTCCCAACGTCCCTTTTTGAATAGCACCATGGGAGATCTTTAATATCCACCTGAACAGGCAGATGGGAGCTCCGTTTAAAATCTCAATCAAAGGACAATATCTCCGACACTGCAACACACCCCAGGTCTTCATTGAAGGATCATCTTAGGTGATGTGATTCCAAGTACCAACATGGGGCTTGAACCCAAAACCTTCTGATCCAGAGGTGAGAGGACGGCTGAGGAATAGCATTCTGGCTTCTAAGTCTGTAAAACGACAGGGGGTCTCCAAAACCAAACATTTGCACAGGGACCCCCGCAAGGCAAACACCGGGGGTGTTGGGCGCAGTCACCATCTCACCGCACCTGACTTTGTGGAGTCCCATACTGTAGTGGTTAGAGCATTCGCCTCACACTCAAGAGGTTCGATTGCTGGGTGGGGCGAAACCTTAGGCAAGTTTCCTTACTCCACACGCCTGGTTACCTAACAATAAGTAGGAACCTGGTTGTTAGTCCATTGAATTCCTGCAAAAATGAACTGGTCACTCAATCCACGACTGTTTGTGGGATACGGCTGTGCACAATTGGCTGCCGCGTTTCACCCACAAACTGTACGGTTAATTCACTTTTCAGTGTATCTTGTGAAGGGCTTTGAGACGCCTCGAAGATGTGATAAGGTGCTATATCAAATGTAAGGGTTATTGCTGTATTATATCGGATTGCTTTCCGGGGTAACAATCCCTCCCCAAAAAAGTCCAGTTCGAACGTTCATTCATTCAAACCGAGCGCGTGCGCGCACCTCCCCCGCAGCCGCCGTTCCCGTTTGTGACGCGAGACCAATATGCAAAGGAGCGCGAGGGGGGGGGCGGGGTGGGGGAGTGAGAGAGCGTGGGGGAGCCTTGAAACTACCGAACCGGAAGAACAAAGCCGGTGCGCGTGTGCGGAGAGAGGGCGGGGTTGGGTTCTCATTCACTCTCTCTATCCACTGAGAGAGCTGCTGAAGGAGGAGGAGCCTGAAAACTGTCGAACAGGAAGAAGCTCGCGCTCGCATTCGCTCGGCTCGAGACTTGTCATTTGGGCTTCAGTCAGTCAGTCGGTGCGAGTCGAGGGAGAGAGGCGTTGTGAAAGGGGGGGAAGGGAGGGGGGAAATAGATTATATTAATAATATTTATACAGTATATAACATATATAAATAATAATAACCCGGAGCCTGTTAATGTGAGGGAAAGTCAATCGCGTGAGAGTGAGAGAAACAGGAAAAAAAGAGAAGAGAGAAAAAAAACTGCTGTTTTTTGAAAGAGTCCATAACGATTTCTGAGGAGAGAGAAGGAAGGAGGAAAAAAAGTGTTGCCGAAAGGGCGGCGGCGCGACATTCTCACTTCTTCTTGTACATATAGTTGTTATTTTTTTTAAAAAAAGAGAAAGATTAGATTGAGAGAGAGGGGAGGAAGGGGGAAGACGGGGTGGGAGGGTGGGAGAGGAAAAAATATCGTTGGGTAGTCACAACTCGATGGGGGATTACGGGTTCGGTTTACTAGTTCAGACGAATAATACGAACAGTAAGGTCGCCTTTCCAGTCAGGTACCATCAGCCCCACCAGCAGCAACACAGCCAGAGCGCCACCGCTGCCGCCGGCTTCTGTAGCGCTGCTGCTGCCGCCGTCACCGGTTCGGCTTGGCTTTTCCCCGCTTCAGCCGCCCAGACCATGCAGGATGACCTGCTGCTGTCAGAGAAATCCAAATCCCAACAACAACAGCAGCAGCAGCAGCTTTCACCCAGATTGGATCAGGCTGCCTCTGAAGCAGTGATACTGCCAGAATCCCCTAAATCCGAGGAGGAAAATCAGAGTATCGGCAACGGCGGCGGCGCTTCGGTGTCAACCAGTAACTGCAAGGACAAGCTGAGGATGGAGTCGCCCATTCTGTCCGGTTTTGATTATCACGAGCCTCCTTCGGGACTAGGAGGAGCGGGCACCAGCGGAGGAGCCCCGTCACTGACATCCACGTCCTCTTTGACCGGTTTCAGCAACTGGTCAGCAGCGATGACTCCTCCTACCATGAGCGAAGATAATTTCTTCCACCAAGGAGTTCCTGCCGCCTCTCCGAACGGTACTATGCTTTTCCAAAATTTTCCTCACCATGTCAGCTCCGGCTTTGGAGGCAGCTATTCACCCCAGATGGCTCTCTCTCAGCATCACCACCCACACCCTCCTCCTCCCCCTCCTCACCATCACCACCAGCAGCAGCAGAGAAGATCTCCTGCCAGCCCACACCCAGCACCGTTCCCCCACAGAAATGCTTTTAACCATCTGCCTCATCTGGTCAACAGTATCAGTAAACCTCCTTCTCCCTGGAATAGTTACCAAAGCCCGTCACCTTCATCATCCTCTTCGTCATCTTGGAGCTCCGGCGGTGGTGTTGGTGTTTGGGGTGGCTCCCAGGGTAGAGATCACCGCCGAGGGATGGCTGGAGGAATGGCAGCCCTAAACTCCATCTCCCCAATGAAGAAACCTTTCCCAGGCGGTCACATCCCAGCGCATAAATTCTCAAGGTCCAGTACAGCATTTCCACCCAAATCCTGGATGGAAGACGGTATGCTGAGGAATGATAATATTTTGCCATTTCAGGTGAGAAATAATTTCTTTTGGTTAAATGTTACATTAAAGCACAACTATGTTAACTTACACAAAATATTCACTTCAATTCTATTAAATATAGATAATGCCAAATGTGCGTACAGATTTTAAAATACACAAGTTACTCTGAATCGCTAGCATTTCCAATTGAAATATGTAACAATAATACTTGCATTTGATATAGTGTCTTATCACTTTGTCGAGACGTCTCAAAACACTTCACAGGAGGTACTGTAAAGTGGATTGACTGTGTTTTGTTGGCAAAATGTGGCAGGCAATTTGACGTACTGTAGTAAATCTGCAGTTTCTTTCAAATACTCATAAAAAACGAAACTATAATTTGAATTTCCTCTATTCTGACTCTTCCTTTCTCCCCCTACCCAGTCCATCCAAACTATGATGAAATAAAGCGGCCAAGGCCCAGTGGGCACCAACGGATGAACCTAAATTAAAATTACTATTGACACATGTTATTTCAAAGAATGATACAGCACAGAAGGAGGCCACTTGGCCCATTGTGTCTGTGCCAGCTCTTTTAAAAGAACTATCCAAATCATTTAACCAATTTAGCCAAATACTTTGTATAATCTTTATTTTTATCTAACTGCTGGGTATATGAGGGGTAAAATTCAATCTAGATGTAGATTTACTATATTAACTTCACATTTCAGAGGGTACAGAATTTGCAAATACTTAAATACTGCATTAATTTTGAAGTTGGTTTGCTAGAACTAGAGAAAATGACCATCAAAGTTGAGGTTAAACTCAACAATTTGCCAAATTCTGGATCTTCTGAAATGCTGCGGTACTGGAGTAACTGTAGACACAGATGGAATTTTACATCCAAAGGTTCCTCTGGTATACAACATTAATATGAAATATAACTATTAATTTGAACCAAAATTGAAATACCTTATGAAGAACGAACCAGACTTTTTTTTAAAAAAAGGTAGGGTTTTAACTTTTGTCTGTTAATGTGTTTAGTTCTTTAACTTTAAATTTGAAAGATAATTCTAGCAAGAAACTAAACTTAATAATAATAATAAGTAATAATAATAATAACTATGAAGTAATGCTGATGACCTCATTTGTATACAAAGCAGACAGATTCAATTCATTGAACGCTGGAATTTACTAGCTTTTCCGATTTTAATTTGTTGTGTACAATCAAGGTTATGACTACAAAAAGATCATAAGAAGCAGCTTCTAAAATTAAAAACCTGCAACAGAAGTACATAAAAAGAGGTACAGCATCCAAACGAGAGCTAAAAAAGAACAGAGTGGTGAGCACAATACTTAATGCCAAATTATATCAGCAAGAGGATAGGGCAATCTATAACAAGGAAAACTTGCATTTATATAGCGCCCTTCATACAGGGTAGCGTCCCAGTGCACTTCACAGTGGTGGATCTGACAACGAGCCAAGGGGAGAGGGAAGGGGGCGTGACCGTAAGTACGATCAAAAAGGAAGGTCTCTAGGTAGGATTTCAAGGTTTGGAGGGAAGAGGCAAGGCGGAGGGATCGAGGGAGAAAGTTCCAGAGTTTCGGGGCATAGTGACTGAAGGCACGACTACCGATGGTGGAGCAGAGGGCACGAGACACAATTAGCAGGCTGGAGCCAGCTGAGCAGAAGCAGCGGGTGGTGTATGGCCTTGCCCCCTCCTACCTCTCTGACCTGCTGACTCCCTACCAATCTGCCCGCTCCCTCCGTTCATCGAAGGGAGTGTCTCCTGCCTTACCTGCCCTACCACCGGTGGCCGGGCTTTCAGCCTCTCTGCCCCCACACTCTGGAACTCCATCCCACGGTCCCTTCACCTCGCTTCCTCCCTTTCCTCCTTCAAGGCCGGTCTCAAGACCGTCTCTTCGACCGTGCCTATGGTCTCCCTTCCACCTCTCTGCCTTCCCTCCCCCCTATACCACCCCTCCCCCATTCTCGGGCCCCGACACCTGATTGTTCAGCGCTTTGGGACATCCTCCCGACGTGAAAGGAGCTCTATAAATGTAATTTTGTTGTTGTTGTGTAGTTGGGGGGTAAGCAGCTTGAATAGGTAGGGAGGTGTGAGAGAATGAAGTGATTTGAAAACGAGTGAGAGGATCGTGAAGTCGATCCGTTCGGTGATTGGGAGCCAGTGGAGCCTGGCAAGGACTGGTGTGATGGGAGTACAAAGTTTCGTGTGGGTGAGTACCCAGGCGTCTGAGTTTTTAATTAATTGGATTTTTGTGTGGTGGAGCTGGGAAGACCAACAAGGAGAGCATTGGAATAGTCCAGCCGGGAAATAATGAAGGTATGGATGAGGGTTTTAGCTGCATCGGTTGTGACATATGGACCGAGGCGAGCAAACTATTAAACTGTTATTTCTTGGAGTTTTTCACCATTGATGACTTCTGCAGTCCCATTCAATATATGCCACATTCATGTAGAATGGCCACCATATTACATGAATACTACAGACCACCAAATGGTGTTTACTATAGACCACCAATAGTGGGAAAGAGATAGACGAGCAAATCTGCAAGCAGATTTCAGAAAGATGCAAAACCAATAGAGTAGGGATAATGGGAGACTTCAATTATCCTACCATAGACAGGTAAAATACCAGTGTAAAGGGCAAGGAGGTGCATGGATTTCTGAAATGTGTGCAGGATGACTTTCTGGATCAGTATGATTCCAGTCCAACAAGGAAGGAATCAGTGCTGGATTTAGTTCTGGGGAATGAAATGGGGCAAGTGGAGCACGTTTCAGTAGGAGAGCATCTGGACAACGGTGATCACAACATCATTAGGTTTAGAGTACTTATGGAAAGGGACAAGGAGCAATTGAAGATGAAGATATTCAACCGGAAGAGGGCTAATTTCAATGAGTTAAAAAGGGACCTGACCAAGGTGAACTGTAATAATAATAATAATAATCCTTGCATTTGATATAGCGCTTTTCATGTCGGGAGGACGGCCCAAAGCGCTTCACAGAATATACTGTAAAGTGAATTGACTGTATATTTGTGGGCGAACGCAGCAGCCAATTGCGCACAGCAATGTCCCACAAACAGTCGTAGATTGAAAATGACCAATTTATTATTGTTTTTTTTTGGAGGGATTATTATTAGGCTCTGTGTGGAGTAAGGAAACTTGTCCAAGGTTTCGCCCTGCCTGGAATTGAACTCAGGTCTCTCACTTGCAAAGCGAGTGCTCTAACCACTGAGCTACAGGACTGACTGTAAAGAAAGATTGACAGGTAAAACAGCTAACAATCAATGGGAAGCCATCAAGGGGCAGATAGTTTGGGGACAGAACAAAATGTATTCCCACAAATGGGAAACGTAGAGCGTCCAAACTTCCCTGGATGAATAAGGAAATTAGGATTAAAATAAAACAGAAAAAGGAGGCTTATGATAAATGTCAGGTCCAAATACAGAAGATAATCAAATAGAATGTAGAAAATATAGAGGAGAACTGAAAAAGGAATTAAGAGGGGCAAAGAGATTGTATGAGAAAAGATTAGGGCGTAACATAAAAGGGAACCCTAAGGTATTTTGTAAGCATATAAAGATTAAAAGGTTAGTCAAAGGTAGGGTGAGTCCAATTGGGGACCAAAGAGGAAATCTTCTTGTGGAGGCGGAGGCATTGGCTGATGTACTGCACCTGTCTTCACAAAAAAAGAGGACGCAACCAATGCCACAGTATCGGAGGAGAGGTTAGAGAAATAAGATAAGAATAAACCAAGAGGAGGTACTAAAAAGGTTGTTGGTGCTCAAGGTAGATAAGTCACCCGGTCCGGACAGGATGCATCCTAGGTTACTGAGGGAAGTAAAGGTGGAAATAACAGGCTCTGGCCACAATCTTTCAATCTTCCTTGGACACTGGGATGGTGCCAGAGGACTGGAGGGTTGCGAATGTTACTCCCCTGTACACAAAGGAGCAGAAGGATAAACCCAGGAACTACAGGCCAATCAGCCTAACGTCAGTAGTGGGGAAACTTCTGGAGACAAAATAAATTTTCACTTAGAAAAATATGGGTTAATAAAGGACAGCCAACAGAGATTTGTTAAAGGCAAATCACGTCTAACAAACGGGATAAGAGTTTTTTGATGAATTAATGGATAGGATGGATAAAGGTAGTGCAATTGATGTAGTTTTTGTGGATTCTCAAAAGGCGTTTGATAAAGTGTTAAAAGAGACTTGTAAGCAAAATAGAAGCCCTCAGTATTAAAGGGACAGTGGCAGCATGGATAGAGAACTGGATGGGAGACAGAAAGCAGAGAGTCATTGTGAACAGTTATTTTTCTGACTGGTGGGAAGCGTGCAGTGGTATGAAACACTGGTTAGAGGCCTCAGCTAGAGTACTGTGTTCAGTTCTTTAGGAAGGATGTCAAGGCATTGGAGAGAGTGCAAATGAGATTTACCAGGAATGAGGGACTTCAGTTATCAGGAGAGGAGGAGGTTAAGAGGAAGTTTCATCTTGGAGCAGAGAAGGTTAAGAGGACGTTTTCAAAATTATGAGTGTATCAATAGGGTGAGCCAGGAGAAATTATTTCCACTGGTGTGTGGGTTGGTAACTGAGGATACCGATTTAAAATAGTTGTTAAAAGAAACAGGAGAGGTGAGGAGAATTTTTTTCACACAGCGAGTTGTTTGGATCTGGAATGCATTGCCTGAAAGAGTGGTGGAAGCCGATTTGATAACAACTTTTAAGAGAAACATAGATCATTATTTGGGGAGGACAAGTTTGCAGGGCTATGGGGAGAGAGTGGGGGAGTGGGATTGAATTGGATAGCTCTTTTCAAAGAGCCAGCACAGACACGGCAGGCCAAATGGCCTCCTTCTGTGCTGTATAATTCTATGATTCTATGATATCTGGCATCTTATTTGGAAAATTAATGGAACTCAGAATTGGAAGCAAATTGAAGTAACTATGAAAATAATGACATTCAACTGAGATTTAGAATGAGATTCAGAATGAATAAATCAAAAGGTCTTTGACAAAGAAACACACA